AGGCTCACTGCGCCCCCTAACCTCCGCAAAGGTGGAGGACCCATTAAGTTGGTCCGCCCCAGGAGGCTTATGGATCCGAACGGATTCCTGATGGCTCTTGGGGATTTTCCCGCCACTTCGGTAGGTGACCATGTCGAGGCCTTGGTCGCTCTCTGGAATAGGGAGATGACCAGGGCAATTGACAGGCTCGCTCCGGAACGTCCCCTCTCAAGTAACCGAGCTAAACCAGCTCCTTGGTTTACTGAGGAGCTGGCAGCGATGAAGCGAAGGAAGAGGGAACTAGAGAGCGTGTGGCGCTCGGACCCAAGCGAGCCAAACCGAGCACGGTTTGTGTCCTTTTTAAGGGCATATGCCGCGGCAATAAAAGCCGCAAAGAAAACTTTCTTTGCGGCCACTATTGCGTCTGCAAAAAACCGTCCAGCGGAGTTGTTTCGAATTGTCAGAGGACTGTTAACTCCCCCTACCTCAGGTGGGAGCCCTGACAATTCGGCCACGCGCTGTGAAGCATTTGCTCGGTTCTTTGCAGACAAAGTCGCTTTGATCCGCTCTGGGCTGGACGCCACTTTAAATGCAGTCTCTGTGGATGTGACACAAGCACCTGCTTGTCCTATTTTGATGGATTCTTTTCAGTTTGTGAAGCCCGAGGATGTGGACAAGATACTTGGAGGAATGAGGCCCACCACGTCCATCCTAGACCCCTGCCCATCCTGGCTTCTGAAGGAGGCCAGAGGGGGATTGGCTGAGTGGGTAACGGTGGTGGTTAATGCCTCCCTTCGGGAAGGCAAGATTCCAGCGAGCCTAAAACAGGCTATTATAAAGCCGCTGTTGAAGAAACCATCACTGGACCCCACTAAATTAGACAACTTTCGGCCTGTTTCCAATCTTCCCTTCTTGGGCAAAGTCATGGAAAGCGTGGTGGCTTCACAACTCCAGGTATTCTTGAGAGACACGGATTATCTGGATTCGGCGCAGTCTGGTTTCAGACCGGGACATGGTACCGAGACGGTCTTGGTCGCCTTAGTGGATGATCTGCGCCGGGAGCTAGACAGGGGGAGTGTGTCCCTGTTGGTGCTCCTGGACCTCTCAGCGGCCTTCGATACCGTCGACCACGGTATTCTTCTGGGGCGCCTTGCAGAGATGGGTCTTGGGGGCACTGCTTTGCAGTGGCTCCGCTCATTTCTGGAGGGTCGTACTCAGAAGGTGTTAGTGGGGGACTCCTGTTCAGCTCCACAGCCTTGACCTGTGGGGTTCCTCAGGGTTCCATCCTGTCCCCCATGCTGTTTAACATCTACATGAAGCCGCTGGGTGAGATCATCCGGAGTTTCGGGGTACGGTGTCATCTGTACGCAGATGATGTCCAACTCTGTCACTCCTTCCCACCTGCTACTAAGGAGGCTGTCGAAGTCCTGAACCGGTGCCTGGCCGCTGTAATGATCTGGATGAGGGCGAACAAACTGAAATTAAATCCAGACAAGACAGAGGTACTCCTGGTCAGTCGCAGGGCCGAGCAGGGTATAGGGTTACAGCCTGTGCTGGATGGGGTCGCACTCCCCTTGAAGGCGCAGGTTCGCAGCTTGGGTGTGACCCTGGACTCATCGTTGAGCCTGGATCCCCAGGTTTCAGCGGTGACCAGGGGAGCATTTGCACAGCTTCGGCTCGTGCGCCAGCTGCGCCCGTATCTTGGGAAGTCTGACTTGGCCACGGTGGTACACGCTTTGGTCACATCCCGCCTTGACTACTGCAACGCTCTCTACGTGGGGCTGCCCTTGAAGACGGCCCGGAAGCTCCAGCTAGTCCAGCGCGCGGCAGCCATGTTGTTAACAGGAGCGGGACGCAGGGAGCATACAACGCCCCTGCTGTCCCAGCTCCACTGGCTGCCGATCTGCTACCGGGCCCAATTTAAGGTGCTGGTGCTATCCTACAAAGCCCTAAACGGTTCCGGCCCAAAATACCTTGCGGACCGCATCTCGGCCTACGAGCCCACGAGGACCTTGAGATCATCTGGGGAGGCCCTTCTCTCGGTACCGCCTGCCTCACAGGCACGTCTGGCGGGGACGAGAGAGCGGGCCTTCTCGGTGGTGGCCCCCCGGCTTTGGAACTCCCTCCCTGCTGAAGTTAGACAGGCGCCTTCCCTTATGGCCTTTCGTAGGGGCCTGAAAACATGGCTCTTCGAGATGGCCTTCAATTGAGTGCTATGTTAAATACTGGAATTGACGACCGGAATGGACTGTGATTATGAGATGGATTAGGACCCTATGATTTGACGAAGCGGATTTTTAGTATAGTAGTGTTGTAGTAGTAGAATGTTGTGTATTGTTGATTTATTGTAACCTGTCTTTTCTATGTTGTTGTACACCGCCACGAGTCGCCCTAGGGCTGAGAGTGGCGGTCTATAAGTGCAAGAAATAAATAAATAAATAAATAATAAGGGAGGGCGCCTGTCTGATGTCAACAGGGAGGGTGTTCCACAGCCGGGGGGCCACCACCGAGAAGGCCCTCTCTCTCGTCCCCACCAGACGTGCCTGTGAGGCAGGCGGGATCGAGAGAAGGGCCTCCCCAGACGATCTCAAGGCCCTCGTGGGCTCATAGGCCGAGATGCGGTCCGAAAGGTATTTTGGGCCGGAACCGTTTAGGGCTTTGTAGGATAACACCAGCACCTTAAATTGGGCCCGGTAGCAGATCGGCAGCCAGTGGAGCTGGGACAACAAGGGCGTTGTATGCTCCCTGCGTCCTGCTCCCGTTAGTAACATGGCTGCCGCGCGCTGGACTAGCTGAAGCTTCCGGGCCGTCTTCAAGGGCAGCCCCACGTAGAGAGCGTTGCAGTAGTCAAGGCGGGATGTGACCAGAGCGTGTACCACCGTGGCCAAGTCAGACTTCCCAAGGTACGGGCGCAGCTGTAGTAGTTTTTATAATAACATTATTTTTATATATTAATAATTTATAATTTAATTTTATATATTATTTTTATTATTATTTATAATTATATTTTATAAATATTTTGTAAATTTAATTATATTTTATTTAAATATTTATATTATTATTTATTTCATTTATATAATATATATAATAATATATTATTATATATATAATTTTATTTTATATTGTATATATTATATAATTTTATATTATTTATTATATTTATTATTATTATTTATAAATTATTATTATTTATTATTATTTATATTTTATTTATTTAAATTTTATTATTATATTATTGTTTTTTTCATTATTGACTCAGTTTTGGCTACTTTATCTTATTACTTTTTTATTTAATATCTTTATCTTAATATCTTGTTCTATTTGATTATTTTTTTGATTTATTTTATGAAATGATTTTGTTTATAGAGCATTTAGCATTGCGCAATCGCGTCCGCCATTTTAACGAATCGATTCGTTATTATTTTAATAACGAATCGATTCGTATTTAATAACGAAGTTTCGGAAGTCGTTTTTGCGCATGCGCAAATCGCGTCCGCCATTTTAACGAATCGATTCGTTATCAACTTAACGAATCGACCCGGTTTCAATAACGAAGTTTCGGAAGTGATTTGCGCATGCGCGGGGGGTTCACCATCTTAACGAATCGATTCATTAATAATAACGAAATTTCGTAAATACCGGACATTTTTAAAGGAAAATTTTGTAATTCTTTTAAATAACGAAACGCAAAAACCCCCCAAAAACGAATCGATTTTAGAAACAAATTTTTGTGTTGTTACCCAGGCCTAGTATTTTAGTTTAACCTTCCATACTTGTTCCCACTCGCTTAGCAGTATAGTGTGGCTGATGTCTCTGGCCCACTTAACCATGTTTTCTTTTACTAGTTCCTTTTCGTTACTCCATTCTAGCAGTCTTCGGTATAAAGTCCCAATCAGCTTCTTGTCTTTTTTCATAATTATGTCCCAGCATGTATCCTGTTCACTAAAGCCCACTTTTAGGTCTACCTTTAGGAGAACTTTCTATCTTTTACTTTTTAATAAACTACAAAGACTTCAGTCTGTGTGCAGTTTTGGTGATTTCAGCAAGGTGAATCTATTCTGAGGTGCGACAACCCACAGAAAACCAAATTTAATAAGCTTCAGCATTATAAGAAGGTTTCGCGAGACCAGTTGCGCTCGTTGCAACAGTGTAGTAATGCTAATGAAGGTGATCAGCCAAACATTCACACCTAACTGCAGCAGGGAAGAGCTCCTTGCCCCACCCCAGCCATTCCACAGATATATAAACCCATTGTCCTATTTCCAACAGACCTCACTACCTCTGAGGATGCTTGCCATAGATGCAGGCGAAAGTCAGGAGAATGCCTCTAGAACATGGCTCTATAGCCCGAAAAAACCCACAAGAACCTAGTGATTCCAGCCATGAAAGCCTTCGACAATACAGTGTAGTAATGGTGAGGCCACGGGCCATATTTTAGTTATTGCGGACCACTGGTCAACAGTAGGGCTGGGCGGTTTCGTTTCGTTAATTCGTAATTCGTTAATAATTCGTTAATTTTTTTAATTACAAAACGATAACGAACCATTCTGGAGCAATTTTTTTAAAAAACGAATTTTTAAATAGTTTTGTAAATGCTTCGTATTTCGTTATTGTATTCGTTTCGTTATTGTTTTGAGGTCGTTTCGTTATTATTTCCGCATGTCTGGGGCAAGTTTTATGGTTGTTTTTTGTTTAATTAGTGAAAAAAAATTATAATATCACACCAACAGTCAACAACAGAGGGAGAGGGAAGCTTCAGAAGTTTTTGGAGGTTTTTTAGCGTATTTCGCGGTCGCGTCCGCCATTAACGAATCGATTCGTTATTGTTTCGGAAATTGATTCGTTAATTTTTTACCATTTACGAAATTTCGTAAATATCGAACTTTTTAAAAGGAAAATTTTGTAATTATTTTAAATAACGAAACGCAAAAAAACCCAAAAAACGAATCGATTTTAGAAACAAATTTTTCCGTTGTTACCCAGGCCTAGTCAACAGGATAGTTAAGCTTTAGACTCCTCAAACTAATTTTCAATATATTTTGTTTCTATTTAAAGAAAAATACAACAGCCTTGAAGATGAACTAGGAGGGTTGCAGGTGATACAAAGGTTTCTATACTCAACTTGAAATTTACGGAGCGGACTGCGTCTCTCTGTAAAGAAGGCAAACAATAGTCCATTGTCAACTAACTATCACAGCTATCGAAAGGGTGAGATCTTTTGGAGAGGAACATCAAGTGAAAATAATTCCCATTTTAGAGAGTAGGTGCCATCTTGATCATCCCCCCAAACCCAACAACATGGTTGCCTCCCTGTACAAGATGGAAGCCATGCTGAAACAAGGCCACTACGAGGAAGTAGTGAGTCAATGTAACTCTCTGGTTGGCACACACTGTGACCTGGAGTTGCTCCTCACGAGAGCTATGGCCTCGGTGCTCTCAAAGACAAATGCGCAAAATGGCGTCATGGACTATCTCCATGCTTTTATGAACCATCGGGAAAAGACGGTAGCGTTCATAAGTGACCGGCAAACGCAACACTTGCAGCAGATCATTCAGACCTTCTTGGACTTTGTCTCACTTGGGGAAAATAGTCACTCTAGACTGGAAAACTGGCAAAGTGCTTGCTATGACTTTCTTGTTGCCATAGCACCAAAGGACTTCCAGGTCCACCAAACATACGCAACTCACCTGTTGGAAAAACAACAATATAAAGAGTGTGTATCTGCTTATAGTAAGGCTTTAGAGTTATTGTCCACCAATGGTGAGATTTGGGGTGACAGAGTACCTGTCCTTCTCATTGGCAGAGCAGCCGCATACTTTTCCTTAGGTGGGAAGGTGCCAGAGTTGATGAAAGACTTGACTACAGCCTTCGAGGCTCATCCCAGCTGGGCAAGGAGAACGTTTGAGGAGCTCTTCCCTGCTGGAGATATCGAGACGATAGAAAAGATCACCAGAGAAGCCCTGGAGGAAGGGTTTGCATCCTACAGAGAAGCAATCCGAGCCAGGCTCGAAGTCCGAAGTGATGGCAACAAGGGGTTGGTCTCCACAGTCATCTCCACCCTTCATTTCCTCATCCAAATTTCTCCAAAGTCCTGGCGGGAACTAAATGTTCGCCTGGCGGATTGTTATGTCTTGAAAGGCGACATCAAGATTGCCTTGGATATCTGCAATCGCCTTCTGGATTCCGAGCAGGAGACCTATAACAACACCATTCTTGCCCTCCGAGGTTTTTGTTATCTCCATGCCAAAAGGTGTCAAGAGGCCCTTCAGGATTTCCAAAAGATCATCGAACATGCTTCTCCGCATCCCATCAGCTGTGTCAAGGCCCTGTGCGGGCGCGGACTGATGCGGGCTTGGGATGGGAGTACTTACTGCGCAGCCCTGGACTATATCACTGCCTGTGGGCTGAGATTTGAGGAAACCAGCTTTGTGATCAAGTCCTACATACCGTGGAACCAAAGAGGCTTCCTTTTGATTGTTCTCCAAGAGGAAGCACAGAAGATGCTAGAAAGGAAGCAGAGCAGCTCAGCTCCGCAAGACAATACATTGAGCAGGTTGAGTGGAATCCAGATGAAACAAAGGTAGGTAAGATCTTTGTGAGTTTCCAATTATTGCAATTTTGGTCCCTCAAATGTTAGTCCTGTTTCTGGTAAGCTTGGGCGGTTTCGTTCGTTAATTTCGTAATTCGTTATTAATTCGTATTTAAATTAGCTTACGATCCAATATTGAGCCATGCAGGAATAGTGTGAGGAGTAAATTAGATTCGAAACAATTTTTCCAATTTATTTCGTAATTATTTCGTAATATTATTTCGTAATTATTTCGTAATTATTTTCACATGTCTGGTGCAAGTTTTATAGTTGTTGTTTGTTTTATCACACCAACAGTCAACAACAGAGGGAGAGGGAAGCTTGAGAAGTTCCTCCTGTCCCATTTGGAGGTTGTTGTTTTTTTTAGCATATTGCGCAATCGCGTCCGCCATTAACGAATCAATTCGTAATTTACAAAATTTCGTATATTTCGAAATTTTTAAAAGGAAAATTTCGGAATTATTAAAAAAACGAAACGCAAGGGCCCCCTAAAAACAAAACGAGTTTAGAACCAAATTTTTCCGTGGTTACCCAAGCCTAGTTTTTTATATTTTGTTGCGCTAAACGTATTTCAGTCAAGTCCAATGCAGAAAACACAATAACATTGCACCCAGGCAAGAGGAAAAAGAACAGAAAAACTTTACTCTTATCAGCAAAGTTAAAACATAAACTTGCAATGTTACAAAACAGTGCAACAAATTTGCATAGTCTTTGTAAGCAATCTATATAAATAAAAATGTAATGTTCGTTTGTGGGATTAACATAACTCAGAAACCACTGGACGAATTGACTCAAAATTTGGACACAAGACACTTGGACATCTCAGCGGCTTTCGATACCATCGATCATGGTATCCTTCTGGGACGGCTTTCTGGGATGGCCCTTGGAGGCACAACCTTGTCGTGGCTCCAGTCCTTCCTGGAGGGTCAATCCCAGATGGTGAAGCTGGGTGGCACAGAATGGAACCTTGCGGGACCCCACAGGTCAAAGGCCAGGGGTCCGACCAAGTGTCTCCCAGCTTCACCATCTGGGATTGACCTTCCAGGAAGGACCAGAGCCACGACAAGGTCATGCCTCCAAGGCCCATCCCGGAAAGTCGTCCCAGAAGGATACCATGATCGATGGTATCGAAAGCCGCTGAGATGTCCAAGAGAACCAGCAGGGTCACACACCTCCTGTCCAGCTCCCTATGGAGGTCATCCACCAAGGTGACCAAAGCCATCTTGGTACCGTGGCCAGGTCTGAAGCCAGACTGTGACTGATCCAGATAGTTGATGTCATCCAGGATAGATATGGTCTAAGAAGCTTGAGCTGATATGGTCTATCCAATGCAATTTTCTGAAACAGTGCCCTAAAGAATCCCCAAGACAAGCCTAAAAGCCAAGACACCTTTTTTTTTTGGGTTGGGCTGTGTTATCTATGGTTTCACATCTCCGTGGTTGCATGGTAATGGAATGAAAGACAGACCATCTTCTGATCAGAGTTTTCCTTTTATTTGGTTTGTGCAGGAATGCATCTGCAGCACACCAGCTGGCTTTGCTCCTGTTGGACCTGGATGCTTCCAATGAAGCATCTCGGATCTTATGTGCCGATGCACTCTATCAGATGGATCAAATGAATGAAGCTCAGAAGATCCTTCTGGTAGCGCTCTCCAAAACTTCACAGAAATCTGCTGTCCTATCCAGGCTGGCTCTGCTTCAGTTGAAAAAAGGCTTTGTATATGATTGCAACCAGGTAAAGAAAGAAAAAAACATCTATAGTTCAGTAGTATGTCCAGTAATATACTATGATGATAGATAGATAGATAGATAGATAGATAGATAGATAGATAGATAGATAGATAGATAGATAGATAGATAGATAGATGGATGGATGGATACAAGAATGTATGGATGAATGGATAGATACAAAGATGGATATATGGATGGATGGATGGATGGATAAATAACTAAATAAACAAAGATGAATGGATGGATAGATGGAAGGTTAGATATAAAGATGGATAGATACAAAGATAATGGATGGATGGATGGATGGATGGACGGATACAAAGATGGATGGATAAATGGATAGATACAAAGATAGATTGATGGATGGATGGATGGATGGATGGATAAATAGATAATAGATACAAAGATGGATGGATGGACAGATAGATAAATAAATAATAGATACAAAAATGGATAATATAAAGATGGATGGATGGATAAATACATAAATAATAGATACAAAAATTGATAATACAAAGATAGATGGATGGATGGATGGATGGATAAATAATAGATACAAAAATGGTTAGATACAAAGATGGATGGATAGATGGATAGATACAAAGATGGATGGATGGATCGATGGATGGATGGATGGATGGATGGACAGATAGATACAAAAATGGATACATACAAAGATGGATGGATAGATACAAAAATGGATAGATACAAAGATAGACGGATGGATGGATGGATGCATAGATAGATAAATAAATAAATAATAGATACAAAATGGATAATACGAAGATGGATGGATGGATAAATAAATAGATAATAGATACAAAGATGGATGGATGGACAGATAGATACAATGATGGATAGATACAAAGATGGATGGTTGGATGGATGGAGGGATAGATGGATACAAAAATGGATGGATGGATACAAAGACGGATGGATAGACACAAAGATGAATGGATAAATACAAAGATGGATGGATGGATGGATGGATACAAAAATGGATACATACAAAGATGGATGGATGGATGGATGGACGGACGGACAGATACAAAAATGGATACATACAAAGATGGATGGATGAATGGATAGATACAAAAATGGATAGATACAAAGATGGATGGATAAATGGATAAATAGATACAAAGATAGATAGATGGATGGATGGATGGATGGATGGATGGATGGATAACTAACTAAATAAATAATAGATACAAAATTAGATAATACAAAGATGGATGGATGGATAAATAAATAATACATACAAAAATGGATAGATACAAAGATAGATGGATAAATGGGTAGATACAAAGATGGATGGATGGATAGATGGATGGATTGACAGATAGATACAAAATGGATAGATAAAAAATGGATGGATGGACAGATAAATAAATAATAGATGCAAAAATGGATAATACAAAGATAGATGGATGAATGGGATGGGTGGACAGATAGATACAAAGATGGATAGATACAAAGATGGATGGATGGATGGATGGATAGTAGGGCTGGGCAACCACAGAAAAATTTGTTTCTAAACTCGATTCGTTTTTAGGGGGTTTTTGCATTTCATTTTTAAAAGAATTCCGAAATTTTTCTTTAAAAAAGTTCGAAATTTACGAAATTTCGGAAATTACGAAACAATTACGAAACAATTACGAATCGATTCGTTAATGGCGGACGCGACCGCGCAATACGCTAAAAAAACCTCCAAATGGGACAGGGGGAACTTCTGAAGCTTCCCTCTCCCTCTGTTGTTGACTGTTGGTGTGATAATTATATTTTTTTTCACTGATAAAACAAACAACAACTATAAAACTTGCACCAGACATGCGGAAATAATAACGAAACGATTACGAAACGATTACGAAACGAATTGAAAAATTTGTTTCGATTTTTAGTTGCTCCTGAATGGTTCAATATCGCTTCGTTATCAAAAAAATAACGAATTAATAACGAATTACGAAATTAACGAACGAAACCGCCCAGCCCTAATGGATAGATAGTAGGCCTGTTTGATCAAGAAAAAATTTGTTTCTAAAATCGATTTGTAATTGGGGTGTTTTTTTGTTTCGATATTTAAAATATTTACAAAACTTTCCAAAAAAAGTTTTGGTATTTACGAAATTTTGTAAATATTAACGAATTTTTAGAATATTTTTTGTATTTTTTAAGAATAATATTAAAATAATATTAAAAAATATTTTAAAATGGAAAATTAACCAAAAAATGGCCCAAATGTGGACCAAACACAGGCAGGAGACAGCAAATGAGAGAGCACACACCAACAGAAGAGTCTTTTCTTTTTTAGAATATTTTTTAAGAATAATATTAAAATAATATTAAAAAATAATATTAAAAATATAATATTAAAATGGAAAATTAACCAAAAAATGGCCCAAATGTGGACCAAACACAGGCAGGAGACAGCACATGAGAGCACACACCAACAGAAGAGTCTTTTCTTTTTTAGAATATTTTTTAAGAATAATATTAAAATAATATAAAAAATAATATTAAAATAATATTAAAAAATATTTTAAAATGGAAAATTAACCAAAAAATGGCCCAAATGTGGACCAACACAGGCAGGAGACAGCAAATGAGAGCACACACCAACAGAAGAGTCTTTTCTTTTTTAGAATATTTTTTAAGAATAATATTAAAATAATATTAAAAAATAATATTAAAAATAATATTAAAAAATATTTTAAAATGGAAAATTAACCAAAAAATGGCCCAAATGTGGACCAAACACAGGCAGGAGACAGCAAATGAGAGCACACACCAACAGAAGAGTCTTTTCTTTTTTAGAATATTTTTTAAGAATAATATTAAAATAATATTAAAAAATAATATTAAAATAATATTAAAAAATATTTTAAAATGGAAAATTAACCAAAAAATGGCCCAAAAAATGACCAAACACAGGCAGGATACAGCAAATGAGAGCACACACCAACAGAAGAGTCTTTTCTTTTTTAGAATATTTTTTAAGAATAATATTAAAATAATATTAAAAAATAATATTAAAATAATATTAAAAAATATTTTAAAATGGAAAATTAACCAAAAAATGGCCCAAATGTGGACCAAACACAGGCAGGAGACAGCAAATGAGAGCACACACCAACAGAAGAGTCTTTTCTTTTTTAGAATATTTTTTAAGAATAATATTAAAATAATATTAAAAAATAATATTAATAAATAATATAATAATAAAATATTTTAAAATGGAAAATTAACCAAAAAATGGCCCAAATGTGGACCAAACACAGGCAGGAGACAGCAAATGAAGCAAGCAGCACTCACAGCAGCAAGGAATGAATCCAATCCAGTTGCTAGCCATTAGCCAAGCCAAACCAATGCAAACTCCCTCGCCCTCTGCAGCAATGAGCTACGGCCGCGCGGAGCCGCTTTGAAAGGGCTCGCCGGCCAATCAAAAACAAACAGCCACGGACCCACAGTGCACTGCTTGGGAGCGCCGGATTGGCTCCCAGGCACCAGCACTCCAGCAGCCTCCACCCCATTAACGAAACGAGCGGAAGCTCGTTAAATCTATGGGGGTTGCTGGTTCGATATTTTAAAACCCTTCCGGGTTTGGAAATGTGTTTTGATATCGCTTCAAAAATGCCTAAAATAACGAATTAATAACGAATTAACGAATTAACGAACGAAACCGGACAGGCCTAATAGATAGATAGATACAAAGATAGATGGATAGATACAAAGATGGGTGGATGGATGGAGATAGATAGATAGATAGATAGATAGATAGATAGATAGATAGATAGATAGATACATGCTGTTAGACTGGAGCCTGTGAGAAATGGCACTGGTTTATCACGTTACCAACCATTTATTCTTTCATCCCTTTTGTAATCCTCTCTGACACCAGTCACTATGAAGTCAGACCTTTTGAGGAAAATAATACATAGTACTCTAGAACATGGCTGGGAATGGTCTGTGCTAACCTTTTGTCTGCCTTTGCCTCGAGAAAGCTATTGAAGAAGATCGCCCAAAGTGGAGAGACATCCAGTTTCTTTGCTGTTGTGACCATTTTAAAAGATGACGACAAGACCTTAATGCAGAGACACTGCCACTCAAGAGCGATGACAATCCTGAAGAATAAGCAAGGCGTTGGCTACATCAAAGAAGCCATCGTCTACCTTTCCTTTGCCATCTCTGCAGCTGGTAAGATCCTACATTGACCTTGAGTTTTGGAGTTGTAGTTCACCATCCAGAGAGCACCGTGAACTCAAACAATGATGGATGTGGAACAAACTTGACATGAATACTCAAAATGCCGAAATGTGAACAATGGTGGAGTTTGGGGAAAATAGACCTTGACATTTGGGAATTGTAGTTGCTGGGATTTATAGTTCACCTACAAACAAAGCTCATTCTGAACTCCACCAACAATGGAATTGAATCAATATTGGCAAACAGAACTCCCAGACCAACAGAAAATACTGGAAGGGTTTGGTGGGCATTGACCTTGAGTTTTGGAGTTGTAGTTCACCTTCACCGAAAGAGCACCGTGGACTCAAACAATAATGGATCTGGACCAAACTTGGCACAAATACTCAATATGCCGAAATGTGAACACTGGTGGAGTTTGGGGAGAATATATCTTAACATTTGGGAGTTATAGTTCACCTAAAATCAAAGAGCATTTGGAACTCCACCAATGATGGAATTGAACCAAACTTGGCACACAGAACTCCCTTGACCAACAAAAAATACTGGAAGAGTTTGATGATCATGGACCTTGAGTTTTGGAGTTGTAGTTCATCAACATCCAGAGAGCATTGTGAACTCAAACAATGATGAATCTGGACCAACTTGGCATGAATACTCTATATGCTCAGATGCAAACACTGGTGGTGTTTGGGGAAAATAGACCTTGACATTTAGGAGTCATAGTTCCTGGGAATTTTAGTTCACCTACAATCAAAGAGCATTTGGAACTCCACCAATGATGGAATTGAACCAAACTTGGCACACAGAACTCCCATGACCAACAGAAAATACTAGAAGAGTTTGGTGATCATTGACCTTGGGTTTTGGATTCATAGTTCACCTACATCCAGAGAGCACCGTGGACTCAAACAATGATGGATCTGGACCAAACTTGGCACAAATACTCAATATGGTCAGATGCAAACACTGGTGGAGTTTGGGGAAAATAGACCTTGACATTTGGGAGTTGTAGTTGCTGGGATTTATAGTTCACCTCCAATCAAAGAGTATTCGGAACTCCACCAATTGAATTGAATCTATATTGGCACACAGAACTCCCATGATGAACAGAAAATACTAGAAGGGTTTGGAGGGCACTGACCTTGAGTTTTGGAGTTGTAGTTCACCTTCATTCAAAGAGCACCGTGGACTCAAACAATGATGGATCTGGACCAAACTTGGCACGAATACTCAATATGCTCAGATGCAAACACTGTAGAGGTTTGGGGATAATAGACCTTGACATTTGGGAGTTGTAGTTGCTGGGATTTATAGTTCACTTACAATCAAAGAGCTTTCTGAACCCCACCAATTATAGAATTGGGTCAAACTTTCCACACAGAACACCCATGACCAACAGAAAATAGTGTGTTTTCTGGTGGACTTTGGCGGCCCCTCTGACACCCCCCTTCTGACCCACCCCAGGGGTCCCGACCCCCAGACTGAGATCACTACTGTGTGTCTTACAGTAGTGATCCCACAGTAACTTAGTTATTATTTACCTTAATAGATCCTTTATTGAAAAACCTGCAGCGAAAGAGAGTTTACCATACTCCCAGGCAGTAGCATATTGTTTTTCCTCTTTCTTATCAAGGTGGTTTTGCGGTTGATTCACTCCTCGCCCGAGCCCGCTGTTACGGACAACTTGGCCAAAAGAAAACGGCCATATTTGATTTCAGCCTTGTCCTGAAAGAAAACCCTGCAAATGCTCAGGCGCTTTGTGGGAGAGGGTTCATTCATTTGGCCCTGGACCAGGAAAAGGTAAGACTCTGCCTTTACTACTGTCAATATTTATCGTGTCATCAGCAACCAGACATTTGTATTACATTTTTTAACAAAAACAAACAGACAGACTAAACACAAAATTTGCAAGCTTGGTAGCTGATTAAATGTCCTTTGACCAGTATCTGGCCACTTGGAGTGCCTCTGGTGTTGCCGCAAGGAGGTCCTCCATTGTGCATGTGGCAGGGCTCAGGGTGCATTGCAGCAGGTGGTCAGTGGTTTGCTCTTCTCCGCACTCGCATGTCGAGGATTCCATTTTGTGGCCCCATTTCTGAAGGTTGGCTCTGCATCTCGTGGTGCCAGAGCGCAGTCTGTTCAGCGCCTTCCAAGTCACCCAGTTTTCTGTGTGTCCAGGGGGGAGTCTGTCATTTGGTATCAGCCATTGCTTGAGGTTCTGGGTTTGAGCCTGCCACTTTTGGACTCTCGCTTGCTGAGGCGTTCCAGCGAGTGTCTCTGTACATCTCAGAAAACTATGTCTGGATTAAAGTCGTTGACGTGCTGGCTGATACCCAAACAGGGGATGAGCTGGAGATGTCTCTGCCTTGGTCCTTTCACTATTGGCTGATTCTTCCCGGCAGATGTCAGATGGTGCAACACTGGCTAAGCAGTGTAATTTCTCCAGTGGTGTAGGGCGTAGACACCCTGTGATAATGTGGCATGTCTCATTAAGAGCCACATCCACTGTTTTAGCGTGGTGAGATGTGTTCCACACTGGGCATGCATACTCAGCAGCAGAGTAGCATAGCGCAAGGGCAGATGTCTTCACTGTGTCTGGTTGTGATCCCCAGGTTGTGCCCGTCAGCTTTTGTATGATATTGTTTCTAGCACCCACTTTTTGCTTGATGTTCAGGCAGTGCTTCTTGTAGGTAAGAGCACGGTCCAGAGTGACTCCCAGGTATTTGGGTGCGCTGCAATGCTCCAGTGGGATTCCTTCCCAGGTGATCTTCAGAGCTCGGGATGCTTGTCTGTTCTTGAGATGAAAGGCACATGTCTGTGTTTTAGATGGGTTGGGGATCAGCTGGTTTTCCCTGTAATAGGCAGTAAGAGCACCTAGAGCTTCGGAGAGCTTCTGTTCAACCATCTCAAAGCTCCCTGCTTGAGCAGTAATGGCACGATCATCAGCATAGATGAAACTCTCTGTCCCTTCTGGCAGTGGCTGGTCATTTGTGTAGATGTTGAACATGGATGGAGTGAGCACGCTCCCCTGAGGCAGGCCGTTCTTCTGTTTCCGCCATCTGCTTCTCTGGCCCTGGAACTCAACAAAAAAGCTCCTGTTTTGTAGCAGGTTTCCTATGAGGCGGGTGAGGTGGTCGTCCTTTGTGATATTATACATTTTTCTCAGGAGGAGGCGGTGGTTCACAGTCTCATAGGCTGCTGACAGGTCTATGAAGACATTTCGAACTGCTTATGTTAAGCTAGGCTTAACAGTTTGGTGCTCCATCCGACTCAGGCTTCAAACATAACTATCTTGATTAGCATTTGCTCCAGGCACTATCAGGCCATTATATGCTAATCAAGGTAGTCAGTTGAAACATTCACACCTAGCTCCAGCAGACAAGAGTCCTTTGTCCCACCTTGTCATTCCACAGATATATAAACCCTTTTTCCTAGTTCCAACAGACCTCACTACCTCTGAGGATGCTTGCCATAGATGCAGGTGAAACGTCAGGAGAGAATGCCTTTAGAACATGGCCATATAGCCCAAAAAAACCTACAACAACCCAACTTTGTTAAACTCTCCAAGCTTCTAAAGACTTTGTATAGGTGGTATATAACACCCGAGATACTAGCAAAAATCAGCAAAGATAAAACGAAAAACCAATGCTGGAAGTGTGGAAAGGAAAAAGGCGAATTTCTACACATGTGGTGGAATTGTAGAAAGGTTAAAAGATACTGGGCACAGATACACAAAATGTTGGAAAAAGTTTTAGAAACAAAATTTGAACCTAAGCCAGCAACATTACTATTAGGTATTCACAACCTGAAATTGGAAATGAATGAGGACAGAGTTTTTTTCTACTTGATAGCAGCAGCTAGGATAGTATTAGCAAAACTGTGGAAAACCAAAGAGATACCAACAACGGAACATTGGATCAGTAAGGTAATGGACATAGTAAGTATGGACATTCTGACGCACAAAATTTCCCCGATCTATAAGAAACCTCAAAGAACAGACTGGAGTGCAGTATTAAAATTGATAAGGGAAAGAAACAAAGAGATGTACACAATAGACATCTGAAGAGAATCCAAAGATTAGACTAATAAAGAACAGGATGAACGCCTGGAGCGGATAAATAAAGTATATGTAAAGGGTATTAAGAAACAAGAGTATTGAAATAAAGAGTAACAATGTATTAAAGACTTGAAATACTGGATGAATGATGTGGAATGACGTATATAAAAGCAATAAGATGTAAAGCCTTCTGGGCGAATCCTGGAAGTATTATTTATTTATTTCTTGCACTTATTAACCGCCACTCTCAGCCCTAGGGCGACTCGTGGCGGTGTACAACAACATAAAAGACAGTATACAATAAATCAAGACAGTACACAACATTCTACTACTACATAACAACTACTTATACTAAAAATCCGCTTCGTCATATCATGGGGTCATAATCAGTCTCATAGTCGTAGTCCATTCCAGTCGTCATTTCCAATAACATAGCACTCAGTTGAAGGCCATCTCGAAAAGCCATGTTTTCAGGCCCTTACGAAAGGCCATAAGGGAAGGCGCCTGTCTGATTTCAGCAGGGAGGGAGTTCCACAGCCGGGGGGCCACCACCGAGAAGGCCCGCTCTCTCGTCCCCGCCAGGCGTGCCTGTGAGGCAGGCGGGACCGAGAGAAGGGCCTCCCCAGATGATCTCAAGGTCCTCGTGGGCTCGTAGGCCGAGATGCGGTCTGCAAGGTATTTTGGGCCGGAACCGTTTAGGGCTTTGTAGGATAACACCAGCACCTTAAATTGGGCCCGGTAGCAAATCGGCAGCCAGTGGAGCTGGGACAGCAGGGGCGTTGTATGCTCCCTGCGCCCTGCTCCTGTTAACAACATGGCTGCCGCGCGCTGGACTAGCTGAAGCTTCCGGGCCGTCTTCAAGGGCAGCCCCACGTAGAGAGCGTTGCAGTAGTCGAGCGGGATGTGACCAAAGCATGTACCACCGTGGCCAAGTCAGACTTCCCAAGATACGGGCGCAGCTGGCGCACAGAGCCTAAGCTGTGCAAATGCTCCCCTGGTCACCGCTGAAACCTGGGGATCCAGGCTCAAGGATGAATCCAGGGTCACACCCAAGCTGCGAACCTGCGCCTTCAAGGGGAGTGCGACCCCGTCCAGCACAGGCTGTAACCCTATACCCTGTTCGGCCTTACGACTGACCAGGAGTACCTCTGTCTTGTCTGGATTTAATTTCAGTTTGTTCGCCCTCATCCAGACCATTACAGCGGCCAGGCACCGGTTCAGGACCTCGACAGCCTCCTTAGTAGCAGGTGGAAAGGAGTGACAGAGTTGGACATAATCTGCCTGGAAGTACCTTTATCCCTGACCCCTTCCCACCCCTCCCTCTATCCACCCCCCCTTCACCGCCCCGACCCTCCCCCCTCCCACACCTACGACCCGATAATCCCCCTTGAACCCTGTCAGTGTTTTTATGTATAACTAGCTGTGCCCTGCCACGCGTTGCTGTGGCCTATAGTAAAACTTATCAAAGTTGAGGTAGATATCTGGACTATTATGAAAGAGAGGTACCTACCTATTCCTTCCCCCTTTTCCTCCCCCTTTCTCTCCTTTCTTCCTTCTCTACCTCTTTCTTTCTTTCACTACTTGGTTTCATCCTTCTCTCTTTCCTTCATTCCCTCCCCCTTTCTTCCTTTGACTTTCTTCCCTCCCTGTTTGCTTCCTTCTTTCACTTTTTATTTCCTTTTATTTCACCACCATCATAACAATAACAATAATGCAATGCATTGCCTCTGGGACCTGACACCTCTCCCATTCCCCCTAAAAGGGTCTCATAGGAATAATAGCATAATAATAATAATAATAATAATAATAATAATAATAATAATAATAGAAATAACAACCTTTACCCGCCACGTGTTGCTGTGGCCAATCTTCCCTCTTTCTCTCCTTCTTTCCCTCCTTCCTTCCTTCCTTCCCTCCCCTCTTTCCTTCTCCTCTTCTTTCTCTATCTCTTTCCTTCCTTCCCCCTTTTTCTTTCTTTTTTTCTGTCTCTCTTTCTTTCCTTCCATCTTTCCTTCTTTCCTTTCTTCTTCTTCTTTCTCTAACTTTCCTTCCTTTCCCCTTTTTCTTTACCTCCCTTTCTCTTTCTTCCTTCTTTCCTTCCTTCCTGTCTTTCCTAGATTTTGACAGGGCGGGAAGGGGCGGGGTGGGGTTTGGAGGTGGCGTGAAGTAAAAAGAGGTAAGATTGGGGCAGGGGAGTGATGGAGCGTGGGGTTGTGTGTGTGTGTGCGGCGGCGGGGGAGTGATGGAGCGTGGGGTTGCGTGTGTGTGTGCGGCGGCGGGGGGAGTGGGTTGCGTGTGTGTGTGCGGCGGCGGGGGAGTGATGGAGCGCGGGGTTGCGTGTGTGTGTGCGGCGGCGGGGGAGTGGGGTTGCGTGTGTGCGTGCGGCCGGGGGGAGTGATGGAGTGTGGGGTTGCGTGTGTTGTGTGCGGCGGCGGGGGGAGTGGGGTTGCGTGTGTGTGTGCGGCGGGGGGAGTGGGGGGGGGGGTGTGTGTGTGTGCGGGAAGCGGCGCAGCGGGGCTTGGAGTGGGCATGGTTTCCGCAGAGGGAACGTTGGCCGGAAGGGCATGTGCGCGCGCCAGGGAACTTGCGGCTGGGCGCCAATGCGCATGCTCAGTTGTTTTGCCGTTTTGTGAGTGTGTTGTTGTATTGTTTTTCATTTTGAGTAGATATGTTTGTACCTTGTGGGTTGTGTTATGGGCATGGGAATTTTGGTTAAGTTTGATTGGGTTTTTTTGAGTTTTGTTGTTTTGCCGTTTTGTGAGTGTGTTGTTGTGTTGTTTTTCATTTTGAGTAGATATGCTTGTACCTTGTGGGTTGTGTTATGGGCACGGGAATTTTGGTTAAGTTTCGTTGGGGGATTTTTGAGTTTTGTTGTTTTGCCGTTTTGTGAGTGTGTTGTTGTGTTGTTTTTCATTTTGAGTAGATATGTTTGTACCTTGTGGGTTGTGTTATGGGCATGGGAATTTTGGTTAAGTTTCGTTGGGGGGTTTTTGAGTTTTGTTTCTCCGTTGGATGCCCCTAACAAATTTATATATATAGATGTATGTGTAACAAAACTAATAAAAATATTTTTTAAAAAAGACTTTGTATAGGGAAATTCATAGGGCCTCTCAGCCGAGGCACCCCGGCGTCCTGCTGGGCACATAAAGATCACGTCCTGTTAATAGACAATTGCTACAGGCCCAGCGTGTGACAGCACAGACGCCTCCAAGGTCATGTGACCGGCATGACTGCATTGAGTGCCGTTACCTTCCTGCCAGCCGTACTTATTGATCAACTAACATTTGCATGTTTACGAACTGCAAGGCTGGCAGAAGCTAGGACTAACAGCGGGAGCTCACATGGCTCCCCGGAATTGAACCTGCAACCTTTCGGTTAGCAAGTTCAGCAGTTCAGCGGTTTAACCTGCTGCGCCACCAATAGGAGATGGATATGAGAAAAGGATCATTTCTTTGGAAGGCCAGATGATGCTAATAAGTGAACATGTGGACAAATGCTCATTGTTATGGCTATTTTATAATTGGCATGTTTACCATTAATGCAGGAAGCGGTGCGCGATCTGACTGCAGCCATCAAAGCCGACTCCATTTTGGCCATTATGGAAATCCTCTCCCTGAAGCTGGAAGCCCAGCTGCTGATGCGCCAGTGGTTGCTTTCTCACTGCAGGGAGGCGCTGCTGGGATTTGAGGCTCGCAAAAGGCCACCCTGCGGAGAGATTCTGAAGGATTGCGCCCTTGTGGCAGAAGCCCTTGTGAAAATAAACAAGAAAGACACAAGAAATCATGCCCTCTACGTGGACCTTTTAACAGCTGATGGTAACAGTCGTTTCCTTTACATTATGGTCTAACCACTGATTTCAAAGAAAAGTCAAGCTGTCAGACTGTATATTTACCTTTCTATATACATAAAAATGTTAATCCCACAAACGAACATTACGTTTTTATTTATATAGATTACAGTTGTATGTCTCTCTCTTTTTTATATAAATTTTTATTGTGTGTTTTGTTTTACAATGATAAGTGGGTGAACAACTGAATAGATAAGATAGTAGGAAATGAGAGAAGAGGGTGGGGGGGGGGCGAGAGAGATAGAAAAAAGAAAAATCCATATTTGCCTATCTTATAAAAATAAGGATTGCTAAGATAATATACAGGGTTAGTCAAAATGAATAGGCCAATAAGAAAATTAATTTTAGACGAATGTATGTTTACTGTAACCAAACCACAGCTACGTAGCGACAGATAAACTATCAAAGTTTTTTTTGAGCAACACACATGTACGTTAATGCCGCTAGGCGTCGCTAGGGGTCGCTGTTTTCAAAATGGCGGAATCAAGCAAAGAGAAGGCGTTTTGTGTGATGACATTTGCTAAAACAATGTCAGTAATTACGGTCCAGCGAGAATTTCGAGCCAAGTATGGCAAGGAACCACCTCATCGACATTCCATTGCGAGGTGGGTAAAGCAATTTGAGGAGACGGGCTGCTTATGCAAGGGTAAAACTTAAAACAGCGCATATGTGCTGCATTCGATGCCATTACGTCGGATGTGCTGCAACGGATGTGGAATGAACTGGACTATCGCTTGGACATCTGCCGTGTCGAACATCTCTGAAGGTGAGACAAAACTTTGATAGCTTATCTGTCGCTACGTAGCTGTAGTTTGGTTACAATAAACATACATTCGTCTAAAATTAATTTTCTTATTGGCCTATTCATTTTGACTAACCCTGTATATTAGGCCTGGGTAACAACGGAAAAATTTCGTAATTCGTTAAAAATTCGTTATTTTTTATAACGAAGCGATATTGAACCATTCAGGAGCATCTAAAAAACGAAACGAACGAATTTTTCCAATTCGTTTCGGAATTGATTCGTTATTGATTCGTTATTGATTCGTAAAAATCGTGCAATTTTTCTAATTCGATTTCGTTTGTTCGTTATTGTTTCGAAATCGTTTCGTTATTATTTCCGCATGTCTGGTGCAAGTTTTAAGGTTGCTGTTTGTTTTCTCAGTGAAAAAAAATATAATTATCACACCAACAGTCAACAACAGAGGGAGAGGGAAGCTTCAGAAGTTTTTTTAGCGTATTGCGCGATCGCAGCCGCCATTAACGAATCGATTCGTAATTGTTTCGTAATTGTTTTATGATTTCCGAAATTTCGTAAATATCGAACTTTTTTTAAGGAAAATTTCGGAATTCTTTTAAATAACGAAACGCAAAAAAAACCCTAAAAACGAATCGAGTTTAGAAACAAATTTTTCCGTGTTTGGACAGCCCTAATATATATATATAAAAAATAGAAGAAATAAATAATAAATAAATAAATTTTAAAAAGTGGGGGGGAGTTGACTTCCATTCTTGTTTGTGGCAATTCATCTATTTTGTATGCCCCTATGTTGGTCTTTATATGATACTAGCTGTACCCGCCACGCGTTGCTGTGGCCAACCTTCCCATCCTCTTTCTCTCCTTTTTTCCTATCTTTCCTTCCCTCCCTCTTTCATTCCTTCCCTCTTTTTCTTTCTTTTTCTTTCCCTTCTTCTTTCTTCCTTCTCTACATGTTTCTTTTCTCACCTCTTTTGCTCTTTGGTTCCACCCTTCCTTGTCTCTTCCTTCCTTCCCTCCCTCTTTCTCTCTTTCGTTCCTTCTCTCCTTCCTCCCCTCTTTCACTTTTTTATTTCATTCTCTCCCTCCTCTCCTTCCTTCCTTCTCTACTCTTCTTTCTTTCCTTCTTTATCTCCTTCCCTCCTTCTTTCCCTCCTTCTCTCCTTCCTTCCTTCTCTACCCTTTTCTTTCCTTCCTTCTCTCCTTCCCTCTTTCTCTCCCTCCTTCTCTTCCTCCTTCTCTCCTTCCTTCCTTCTTTACCCTTTTTTTCCTTCCTTCCTTCCTTCTCTCCTTCTTTCCCTTCTTCTCTCACACTTTCTATCCTTCCTTCTCTCCTTCCTTCCTTCTTTACCTTTCTTTCTTTCCTTCTTTCTCTCCTTCCCTCCTTCTTTCCCTTCTTCTCTCCCTCCTTCTCTCCTTCCTCCCGTGGGGGGCGTGGCCGGGGGAAGAAGAAGGAGGGGGAGGAGGGATGGATTTGGACAGGGCGGGAAGGGGCAGGGTGGGGTTTGGAGGTGGCGTGAATTTCTTGGAGGGGGCGTGGCCGGGGGAAGAAGAAGGAGGGGGAGGAGGGATGGATTTAGAGGCGGGGCGGGGGTAGGGGCGTGCGTGAACGTGGGGGGCGTGGCGTGAAGGAGGGTGCGTTGGAAAGAGGGCGTATGGGAGGGTAGGGGCGGAGCGACGGAGGATGGGGGCATCTTGCGCGGAGGGTGCGTTGGCCGGCCGGCCATGTGCGCGCGCCGGGGACTTGCGGCGGGGCGCCATTGCGCATGCTCAGTTGTTTTGTCTAATTGTGAGTGTGTTTTAATGTTGTTTAGAATTTTGAATCGATTTGTGCATACCTTGTGGGTTGAGGTATGTGCATGGTAAATTTGGTAAATTTTCGTCGGGGTTTTTGAGTTTTGCTGTCCCGTTGGACGCCCTTTCTCTTTTTATATATATAGATGATATATGTATAAATACTCCTCTTCTTTCTTCCCTTTTTCTTCCTCTTTTTCTTTCATTATTTTTCCTTGTCTTTAAGAGTATTGTCTTTCTTTGTCTCTAACCATTGGTTGTATATTCTCTCTTAATCTTTTTTCAGTTCTTCTTTGAGGTATTCTTCGAAAAGTTTCCATTCTGTTTGCTTTATACACTTTCCTGTAGTTTTCTTTAAAAAGAAAGTTAGTTTGTCCATGTCTTTTATCTCAGTTACTTTCCTAAGCCATTGTTCTTTTGATGGTATTATCTCACTTTTCCAGTGTTTTGCAAAAACCATTCGTGCAGCTCTACTAAGATACGTAAACAAGATGTCTTCATTTTGATGTAGTTTTAGTTCATTATCAGTGATTCCTAGTAGGAGGTATTCAGGTTTCATTGGGTATTTTTTCCTTAGGATCTTCTGTATAGCTTCGTGTATGGTTTTCCAGTAATGGTTTGTTTCTTTGCAAGTCCACCACATGTGGAAGTAACTACCCTCATGTGATTGACATTTTCAACAGTTTGATCTCATATTTTTGTACATTAAACCTAATTTTTTAGGAGTCATGTACCATCTGAAGGAGGGAAGGAGAGAAAGAAGGAAAGAAAAAAAGGTAGAGAAGGAAGGAAGGAGAGAAGGAGGGAGAGAAGGAGGGAAGGAGAGAAAGAAGGAAAGAAAGAAAGGTAGAGAAGGAAGGAGAGAAGAAGGGAGAGAAGAAGGGAAAGAAGGAGGGAAGAAGAAAGAAGAAGAAAGAAGAAAGAGGGAAGGAAGAGAAAGGAGGGAGAGAAGGAGAGAAGGAAGGGAAAGAAGAGGGAGGAAGGAAGGAAGAAGAAGAAGGAAGAAGGAAGGAAGGAAGGAAGGAGAAAAGGAGGAAGAAGAAAAGAGAGAAAGAAAGAAGGAGGGAAGAGGGAAAGAAGGAGGGAAGGAAGAAAGAAGGAAAGAAGGAAGGGGAAGAAGGAAGGAAGGAGAGGAAGGGAGAGAATGAAATAAAAAAAGTGAAAGATGGAAAGAAAGAAAGAAAGAAAGAACGAAAAAGAGAAAGAGGGAGGGAAAGAAGAGGAAGAAAGAAATGGAACCAAAGAGAAAGAGAGAAAAAAGGTAGAGAAGGAGAAAGGAGAAGGAAAGAAAAAGAGAAGGAAGGAAAGAGGAGGAAGGAAGGAGAGAAAGGAAAGAAGGAGAGAAAGAGGGAGGGAAGGTTGGCCACAGCAACGCATGGCGGGTACAGCTAGTTAAATATATAATAGAATAGAAAATTGAGCAGCTCTTTTTGGTATCATATGTTAATGTTTATTTTCAGGGAGACACGAAGAAGCCCTGACTTACCTGGAGGAGACATTTGGTGAGAACAGACCGGACGATTCCATCAGCTTTCGCTTTGGCTTGCTCCAGGCCAAGAAAGGAAACACGACCAGCGCAGCCCACATTTTGGCAAGTTTAGCCACCAAGAACTCCGAAGAGCTGGGATACATTCTGAGCTTCTTAGACATCAAGCAGAGAGAAAACCTTTCTCAGGTAAACCTTGCTCCTCCTTTATTGCAAGTGTTTGCACACATAAAAAGAGGAAATCTGTATTTGGTGCTGGAACATCCACATTGTCAATTCTAGTGTCTTCAGTTTTGAAAATCATAAATTCATTCATTCTTTTTCCCCAGGAGTTCTGAGAAGCATGACTACCACACCCAGCATCTAGTTCACAGGCCAAGGTCTTTAGGTACTGCACCCAGTGTGCCAATCACCATTGGGACCACCTTGACTGGCTTGTGCCAGAGTCTTTGCAGTTCAATCTTTAAATCCTCATATTGTGTCAGCTTTTCCAGTTGTTTCTCTTCAATCCTGCTGTCACCTGGGATTGCAACATCGACAACCCATACTTTGTTTTTTAACACGATTGTGAGGTCAGGAGTATTGTGCTCCAGAACTCTGCCTGTCTGAATTCGGAAGTCCAGAGTAGTTTGATGTGTTCATTCTCTGTAACTTTTTCCAGCTTGTGATCCCACCAGTTCTTTGTCGCAGGCGGATGGTGTTTGTGGCACAAGTTCCAATGAATCATCTGAGCAACGGTGTTGTGCCTCTGCTTGTAGTCTATCTGTGCGATCTTCTTGCAGCAGCTGAGGATGGGATCTATTGTTTCATCTGCTTCCTTGCAAAGTCTACATTTGGGATCTGTCACCGACTTTTCAATTCTGGCTTTAATGGCATTGGTTCTAATGGCTTATTATTATTATGATACAAAAGCACAGTATGTGTGACGGCGCTAGTGGCGCCACCTATATGTATAACTGTTAGTTGCAAGATTTAAACTGTTGTATCATGCTTAATCCTGCCTTTTTACCCTGCCTATGTATAGTTGGATTGATTGGTTATTTATAGCTGTCAATCAATGTTGTTTGCACCAGTTGAATTGCTTTCTCAGCTCAATTGTTTGGCTCCACCTCTTCCTGGAGGAGGGGAGTGCTTCCCTTTTTCATTCCACCATCAGATTTTCTACCAGATGGACGTGAGTAAGAGACTTGGCTCTAAAAGCCCCTGATTAAATTACCTCTCAGCACCAATTCTGAGGTTTTTACCCTTGAGACTTATGCTTCATGTTCAGACCAACCTGAACGACATTGGGAAGTCTCAAGCGCCTTCAGACCAGTTCCTTTGGCACCAGAGGAAGACCCTGAGTCTTCAAACATAGGCCATTTGAACTGGGGTTGTGGTTTGCTCCGGCATTCACAGCCATTGAGGAAAGAGGAAACTTGGAAAAGCTTCTCAGCTTCAAACTCCTTGGACCCAAGGCAACCAGAGACTGTAATGTACATTTTCCTTCACCCCTTTGAAACTTCCAGCTTATTGCCTTAAAGAGATAACTCTTTGTGAACAATAAAACTTATTTTGAGTTATCTATAGTGTTTTGGTCTTTGGGAGTTCCAGTTTCCTAAAGGAGGGCAAGAAGCAATCCCCTGGGGGAAAGATGTCACGTCCATGCCTCTTTCACTAAGAGCTATAGCCCCCAGGCGCGACGGCACAGAAATTAACATAATGAGATATAACACTGGATATTCGTATTACAAAATCACAAGTAATATACTTCCTAAGCGTCTAGGACTGTGTGATGTATTTTCGAATGATGTGTGCAGATCCAAGTAAGGTGGCCTTTTGCAATTGACAGATTGTGATTTTGTCAATGTTTATTTTTTCCAAATGCTGGCTGAGATCTTTTGGCACGGCACCCACTGTGCCGATGACCACTGGGACCACCTGTACTGGTTGATGCCAGAGCCTTTGCCGTTCGATTTTGAGGTCTTGATAGCGACTGAGTTTTTCCTCTTGTTGTTTTTCCTCAATGCGACTGTCACCCGGCATGGCGACATCAATAATCCAGACTTTTTCCTTTTCCACAATCGTGATGTCTGGTGTATTGTGTTCCAAAACTTTGTCAGTCTGGATTCGAAAGTCCCACAGTATTTTTGCATGTTCATTTTCCACAACCTTTGCGGGTTTATGATCCCACCAATTCTTTACTGCTGGCAGGTGGCCCTTGTAACATAAGTTCCAGTGAATCATCTGGGCCACAGAGTTGTGCCTTTGTTTGTAGTCCGTCTGTGCGATTTTCTTGCAGCAGCTGAGGAGATGGTCCATGGTTTCATCAGCTTCCTTGCACAGTCTGCATTTTGGGTCATCCACAGATTTTTCAATCCCGGCCTTAACGGCCTTGGTCCTGATAGCTTGCTCCTGGGCTGCAAGAATCAGGCCTTCTGTCTCCTTCTTCAGTGTTCCATTCATGAGCCATAACCAGGTCTCCTCCTTGTCAACTTTTCCTTCAATCTTCTCAAGGAACTGCCCATGCAAGGCTTTGTTGTGCCAGCTGTCAGCTCTGGTTTGGAGTGCAGTTTTCTTGTACTGACTCTTTGTCTGCTGTGCTTTGAGAAGTTTCCGATTATTGACTTCAATCAAAGCAGGTTCTTGGCTTTCCTTGACATATTCTGCCAGGGCGTGTTTTTCTTCTTTGACTGCTTGTTTGACTTGTAAAAGTCCTCTGCCACCAGACTTTCTAGGCAGATAGAGCCAGTCAACATCACTGCGAGGATGTAATGAATGGTTGTGAGTTTTCTTGTTTTTCTGTCTAGTTCTGCCTGCGTCCAGTTTATGATGCCAGCAGTGTATCTTATGACAGGTATGGCCCAGGTGTTTATGGCCTTGATGGTGTTGCCTCCATTGAGCTTGCTTTTGAGAATTTTTCTGACCCTTTGAATGTATTCTTTGCTGACCACAGTTTTCACATGTTCATGTTTGATGTTGTCCAGCTGTAGTCTGCCCAGATATTTATAGGCCTCTGGCTGGTGACACTTTATCGCTTGGCCATTGGGCATATTTATGCCCTCACTTTCAATGATTTTTCCCTTCTTCAGTGCCACTGTCAAACATTTGTCCAAACCAAACTCCATGTTGATATCAGTGCTAAAGATTCGGACAGTGTTAGTCAGAGACTGGATTTCAGTTTCGGTTTTCCCATACAGCTTCAGGTCATCCATGTACAACAGATGTGAAATTTTGTGAGATTTCTAAGATTTTATTATTATTACTAGCCGTCCCCTGCTACTCATTGCTGTGGCCCACATGGCTGTTCTGTGTGGGAGTTTTGGCCCAATTCTATTGTTGGTGGGGTTCAGAATGCTCTGTGATTGTATGTGAACTACAAATCCCAGTAGCTACAACTCCCAAATGTCAAGATTCTATTTTCCCAAAACTCCACCAGTGTTCACATTTGGGCATATTGAGTATCCGTATAGAGTTTGGTCCAGATCCATCATTGTTTGAGTCCACAGTGATCTCTGGATGTAGGTGAACTACAACTCCAAAACCAAAGGACACTGCCCACCAAACCCTTCCAGTATTTTCTGTTGGTCATAGGAGAACTGTGTGCCAAGTTTGGTTCAATTCCATCATTGGTGGGGTTCAAAATGCTCTTTGATTGTACATAAACGACAAATCCCAGGAACTACAACTCCCAAATGAGAAAATCAATTTTTTTGAGTGAAGGACATACATTGGACTGTTAGGTGTATTGTGTCCAAATTTGGTGTCAATTCGTACAGTGGTTTTTGAGTTCTGTTAATCCCACAAACGAACATTACATTTTTATTTATATAGATATTATTATTATTATTATTATTATTATTATTATTATTATTATTATTTCCTCTTTCATTATTATTATTTCCTCCTCTTCCTCCTCTACCGTTGTTGTTGTTGTTGTTGTTGTTGTTGTTGTTGTTATTTCCTTTTTCATTATTATTTCCTCCTCTTCCTCCTCTACCATTGTTGTTGTTGTTGTTATTATTATTATTATTATTATTTGATACATAACAAGATTAGCACACAGCAAACAAGATCGCTATGCTGGCTTTTGTATTCAATCACATGTCAGACACTTCCCAAATGTCTGAAACTGTGTGATGTAGCGGCAAATAATAATATTAACCATTATTATTATTATTATTATTATTATTATTATTATTATTATTAGGTATTCTTTAAATTAAAAATAATAGCATCATGAGTCTATAAAGGACCCAATATGAACTTGGACAGTGTAGGGTACCAAGTGGAGTCAATCAAACTCCAAAGAGAAGAACCAAATTGGATTGCGTTAACTAACGACCTTTCCGTCCACAGGTAGCATCAAAAGAAGGGAATGCTTTGGTGAAAAAGCAATGCCATGAAAAGGCTGTAGGCTACTATTCCCTGGCTGTCTTGGCAAGCAACGGTAATCCTCGGTACCTTCGCCAACGAGCTGCTTGCCTATCCTACCTCAAAGACTACAAGAAAGCTTTGCAAGACATGAACCACGTTGTCCAAAATCATGGTGCAAATGCCCCAAGGACACAGGTAAAAGACTGTTGCTTCCTGGGACGGATACTATTGTGCATTTCGGAGGAGGAACTGGCAGTTAAGCAGTACATCAGAGCCTTTGAACTGGAGGAGACGTTGACTCTGGCCAACATCTCGACTGGTCCTGATAGAGAGATGCTGTCCAAAGCGTTCCTTGACACTGCAGCGTCCTGCTTTGCAATGAGCCACTACGAGGAAGCCTGGAAGACCGCCGAGTATGGCCTGATGGTCGACCCAAATAACCACGAACTTAAGAAACTTAAAACAAAGATTAAGCGGGAGGCATGTGGCTGCAGGGTTCAATAATTCGTTATGCTTAGTGCCGCAAACCTCTCCCCTTTTCGTTTTGCTTATTGACGACAAATAAATTATTTATTTATCGTGCCAGGAGCAAACTAAACAGTTGTATTCAGTGTGTAACACATCTCACCACACTAAAACAGTAGATGTGGCTCTTAATGAGACATGCCGCATTATCACGGGGTGTCTGCGCCCTACACCACTGGAGAAATTACACTGCTTAGCCGGTATTGCACCACCTGACATCTGCCGGGAAGTAGCAGCCAATAGTGAAAGGACCAAGGCAGAGACATCTCCAGCTCATCCCCTGTTTGGGTATCAGCCAGCACGTCAACGACTTAAATCAAGACATAGTTTTCTTAGATCTACAGAGACACGCTGGAACACCCCAGCAAGCGAGAGTCCAAAAGTGGCAGGCCCAAACCCAGCACCTCAATTCATGGGTGATACCAGATGAGAGACTCCCCCCTGGGCACTCAGAAGACTGGGCGACTTGGAAGGCGCTGAACAGATTGCGCTCTGGCACCACAAGATGCAGAGCCAACTCTTAAGAAATGGGGCTACAAAGTGGAATCCTCGACATGCGAGTGTGGAGAAGAGCAAACCACTGACCACCTGCTGCAATGCCCTGAGCCCTGCCACATGCACAATGGAGGACCTTCTTGCGGCAACACCAGAGGCACTCCAAGTGGCCAGATACTGGTCAAAGGACATTTAACCAAATACCAAATTTGCAAAATCTGTGTGTTTTTTTTTCCTTTTTCTTTTTAATCTGTGTGTTTGTTTTGCTCTGTTAGAATTGTAATACAATGGTTGCTGATGACACGATAAATAAATAAATAAGAAACAGGTAATTAGTACATTAATGTCCTTTGACCAGTAGCTGCCCACTTGGAGTGCCTCTATTTATTTGTCGTGTCAGAGCAACCAGTCCATTATATTACATTTCTAACAGAACAAAGCAAACAAACAGAAAAATACACAACTTGTGAGTTTGGTAGTTGGTTAAATGTCCTTTGACCAGTATCTGGCCACTTGGAGTGCTTCTGGTGTTGCCGCAAGAAGGTCCTCCATTGTGCATGTGGCAGGGCTCAGGTTGCATTGCAGCAGGTGGTCAGTGGTTTGCTCTTCTCCACACTCGCATGTCAAGGATTCCACTTTGTAGCCCCATTTCTGAAGGTTGGCTCTGCATCTCGTGGTGCCAGAGCGCAGTCTGTTCAGCGCCTTCCAAGTCGCCCAGTCTTCTGTGTGCCCAGGGGGGAGTCTCTCATCTGGTATCACCCACGGATTGAGGTGCTGGGTTTGAGCCTGCCACTTTTGGACTCTCGCTTGCTGAGGTGTTCCAGCGAGTGTCTCTGTAGATCTAAGAAAACTATGTCTTGATTTAAGTCGTTGACGTGCTGGCTGAGACCCAAACAGGGGATGAGCTGGAGATGTCTCTGCCTTGGTCCTTTCACTATTGGCTGCCACTTCCCGGCGGATGTCAGGTGGTGCAATACCGGCTAAGCAGTGTAATTTCTCCAGTGGAGTATATTATTATTATTGTCGAAGGCTTTCATGGCTGGAATCACTAGGTTCTTGTGGGTTTTTTCGGGCTATAGACCCATGTTCTAGAGACAGTCAACACTCCTGAGGATGCTTGCCATAGATGCAGGCGAAACGTCAGGAGAAATGCCTCTAGAACATCTATAGCCCGAAAAAACCCACAAGAACCTAAATTATTTATTTATCGTGTCAGGAGCAAACCAAACAGTTGTATTGCATTTTTAACAAACAAACAAAAAACACAAAGTTTGCAAGCTTGGTAGTTGATTAATAGGCTTGGTTGATCCAAAACAATAAAGGTTCAAAACTCGTTTCGATTTTGAAATTATTTCCGAAATTTTCTTGAAAAAAAGATCGGAAATATCAGGAAATACGAATTGCTTCGTTTGCTTCGTTAATGGAAGGTGCCCCTCCCTCCCTCCAGAACCATTAAAATCTCGCAGTTTCCCTTCCTTCCCTGGTGGCGAGCTGCGATGCAGAGGGACGAGGCGGGCATGGAGCACAGGGGTGTGGCTCTTCTTGAAGTCCAAGGAGAGCTCTTCTTGAAGGCCACGCCCCCAGTGGAAGGAAGGGAAACTGCGAGATTTTAAAACTAACCTCGCAGTTTCCCTTCCTTGGGTGGCAACGAACGGCGATGGATTGCAGAGGGACGAGGTGGGCGTGGGTAAGCACAGCTCTTCCTGAAGGCCACTGGGGGCGTGGTCTTCAGGAAGAGCAGTGCTTACCCATGCCCACCTCGTCTCTCTTTGCATCGGCGGCTTTGCATGCCCGGCGATGCAAAGAGGGACAAGGTGGGCATGGCTAAGAACAGCTCTTCCTGAAGGCCACTCCCCCAGTGCCGGGCGTGCAAAGCCACATCCGAAAATAATTCCGAACAATGGGGAAGTTGTTTCAGTTCGGAATTGCTCCTCCCACTATTCCTGCATGGCTCGAAATTGGATCAAAAGGTAATTTAATCCGAATTAATTACGATTTTAGAAACTAACGAACGAACTTACCCAAGCCTATTGATTAAATGTGCTTTGACCAGTAGATGGCCACTGGTGTTACTATAAGAAGGTCCTCCATTGTGCATGTAGCAAGGAGAGGGCGTAATGTCACAACAGCATGTGACAAAATGGGTATGGAATATATTGTGAGATCATGAAGAAACTTATTTATTTATTTATTTATTTATTTATTTATTTACTTTGCTTCTATACCGCTGTATCTCAAGCCCGAAGGCAACTCACAGCGGTTCACAAACAGTAAAAACAGTAGAAACAGCAGTGGTTCCATACAACATATAACAATTGACTTAACACATTATCCATAAATTACCAATAAGCAATTACAATGCACAATTATTACAAAAAACAACCGTACCCAATCTTCTCATCATCCAAGCGTAGTCCAGGTTCGTCGTCCATTGTTCCATTCCTATGTTCCATTACCAGATTGCACTAAATTACTCAAACGCCTGCACAAACATCCAGGTCTTCACCTTTTTGCGGAATACCATTACAGATGGTGCTAGTCTAATGTCCGTAGGAAGGGCGTTCCACAGCCGAGGAGCCACCACCGAGAAGGCCCTATCTCTCGTCCCCGCCAGCCGAGCTTGAGAAACAGGCGGGATCGAGAGCAGGGTCTCCCCGGAAGATCTCAAAGTCCTGGTGGGTTCATAGGCAGAGATGCGGTCAGATAGGTAGCTTGGGCCGAAACCGTTTAGGGCTTTAAAGGCCAACGCCAGCACTTTGAATTCAGCCCGGTAGCAGATCGGTAGCCAGTGGAGTTGGCGCAACAGGGGGGTTGTATGCTCCCTGCGCTCCGCTCCTGTTAAAATCATGGCTGCCGAGCGTTGGACTAGTTGGACAGTTGGAGCTTCCGAGCCGTCTTCAAAGGCAACCCCACGTAGAGAGCGTTGCAGTAGTCTAAACGGGATGTAACCAGAGCGTGGACTACCATGGCCAAGTCAGACTTCCCATGGTACGGGCGCAGCCCACGCACCATCCAAAACAAACGTGGTGGGATGCTGACAGCGGGAGTCTGTCTCCTTCATGACAACAAGCATCCTCACAACATTCATGCAAGAGTTGTTGACTTCATTTTGTTGGGATGTTTTAAGCCACCCCTCTCACAGCCCTGATCGCGCACCCAGTGACTATCAGCTCTCCAACTAAATTGAAGGAACACCTGGGTGGAAAACACTTTTCTGACGATGACAAGGTAAAAATCGAAGGACGAGCTGGCTGAAAAAGGTAAAGAGAACCTTCTATGACACAGACATCAAAAACTCGTCCCATCAATGACAAAATGTATTGAACTGAATGGTGATTATGTGGAAAAATAATGTAATACCTATATGCAGTTGTGCAAATGCAAGTTGTCCAAGGTATCTCCCGATATGCATTTGTGCAAATGCAGATTGTGCAAGGTATTGCATGATATGCACTTGTGCAAATGCAGGTTGTCCATAGTATCTCCCGATATGCAGTTGTGCAAATCCAAGTTGGCCAAGGTATTGCATGATATGCACTTGTGCAAATGCAGGTTGTCCATAGTATCTCCCGATATGCATTTGTGCAAATGCAAGTTGGCCAAGGTATTACATGATATGCACTTGTGAAAATGCAGGTTGTCCAAGGTATCTTGTAAGTGCAAATGCAGGTTGCCCAATGTATCGCATGATATGCAGTTGTGCAAATGCAGGTTGTCCCAAGGTATCACCCAATATGCATTTGTGCAAATGCAGATTGTCCGTAGTCTCTCCCAATATGCAATTGTGCAAATGCAAGTTGGCCAAGGTATCACATGATATGCACTTGTGGAAATGCAGGTTGTTCGAGATATCTTGTAATATACCTTTGTGCAAGTTGTCCAACGCATCTCCCAATATGCATTTGTGCAAATGTAGGTTGTCCAAGGTATCTCATGATATGCATGTGTGCAAATGTAGGTTGTCCAAGGTATCTCATGATATGCACGTGTGCAAATTGTCCAAGGTATCATATGATATGCACTTGTGGAAATGCAGGTTGTCCATGGTATCTCCCAATATGCATTTGTGCAAATGCATGTTTTCCAAGGTATCACATTATATGAAGTGCAAATGCAGGTTGTCCAAGATATCTCCCAATATGCAGTTTAGCGAATGCAAGTGTGCCAAGATATCGCATGATATGCACTTGTGGAAATGCAGGTTGACAAAGGTATCTCCTGATATGCAGTTGTGCAAACGAAAGTTGGCTAAGGTATCGCATGATATGCACTTGTGGAAATGGAGGTTGTCAGAGATACATGGAATATACCTTTGTACAAGTTGTCCAACATATCTCCCGATATGCATTTGTGCAAATGTAGGTTGTCCAAGGTATCTCATGATAATGCACTTGTGCAAACGCAGGTTGTCCAAGGTATCGCACTATATGAAGTGTAAATGCAGGTTATCAAAGGTATCTCCCAATATGCAGTTGTGCAAATGCAAGTTGGCCAAGGTATCGCATTATATGAAATGCAAATGCAGGTTGTCAGAGGTATCTCTCGATATGCAGTTGTACAA